TGTACGGTTACCACTCTTGTCTACAAACAGTGTACCTCCAAGCACTAACCACAAGTATGCATCAAGCTGCTCACTAAAATCCCGGTCAACCGCCAATGTCGACTCAAAAATCTTATTAGTCAACACCCCACTACCCTGCCAAATGGTCTTTGTGCCGCAAACCTCAGACAGATCATCTGGAGTCATATCCATGGTGACCGAGCACGCGTCCCGTAACACGTCCGTGCTAGGAGTAGTGGTCACCATATTGCCTGCAACCCATAACCCAAGTATGTTGTACACGTCGTGCAGCAAGATCGTAATCTCCCTAAATGGCATGTGAAAGGTGTTCGTATCTGGCTGCCACCTCTCAACAAAAGCAGAAATCAACGGCCAATCAAGTCTCTTAAACATCAGGCCGGGCAAGTGAGACAAACAACTAGCATCAATCGCCGCAAGGTCCTCCACAGATTGACGACCTCGCCAAGTGAACAAGTCAGAACATAACTTTGTCCTACTCAAACAGCGCAAAACACTACGCTCCTGCTCCATCCAGATATACCGTGCCACGTGACCGCCAAAACTAGGGATAACTGACCCATCCTCAGGCCCACCCGGCATCGGTTCCTGCACTAACCATGCCTCTGCAGAGCTGGAAGTAGGCTGACTCGATCCACTACCAACAAATCTCCCAGACTGACCCCTATATACCATATGGAAATCCTGAGGGTCCTGTTCTTCATCCCGGTCACCAGCATGACTAGTCAAACATTCTTCTTCCTCGTCAAATATGGGTGCTCCACTTGCAGAGTACAAGGGCCGACTACTACCAGACTGTTGGTCTCTCGACCAACCACTAGTAGACCCGTATTGCTGCTGCTCGGGCTGAAGCGGTGAAGATCGAGATGTCTGTCTTCTAACAGACGCATTCAGACGTCGTGATATTGCATGTCGAGCACCAGAACCCTTGATCTACATAAAATAAAAAAATAATCCGATTTTAGTAATAATAATAATAACAATAATAATAATAATACTATTATAACAACAACAACAACAATAACCATAATAACAATAATAATAAAAACAACAACAACAACAACAACAAATACAAATTAACAGCAACAAATAAACTTAACAACAACAATAACTAACTAACTAACAACAACAACAACAACAACTACAAATACAAATTAACAACAACAACAATAACCATAATAACAATAATAATAACACTAATATCAACAACTATAATACTAATCATAATTAAAAATATTAATAATAGTACTACTAATAACAATAATAATAATATTATTATAACAACAAAAAAAAAAATTAAACAACAACAATAACCATAAAAACCCTAATACCAAATTAGTTTAATAATAATACTAATCATATTTTTAAAAATAATAACACTAATAATAATAATAATAATAATAATAATAATAACAATAATAATAATAATAATATCAACAATAATAATAACAATAATAATAATAATAATACTAACCATAACACTTCAAAATAACAACAAAAATAACAAAATCCAAAAAAAAAAAAACAAATTAACAATAACAACAATAACCTTAACATTAATAATAAAAACCTAATATCAACAAAATAATAAAAATTATCATATTTTTAAAAATAATTACATTACAAAATATACTAACCATAATAATAACAACAACAATAATAATAGTATCAACAATAATAATAACAATAATCACCATAACACTTCTAAATAACAAAAAAAAAACAAAATCCGAAAAAAAATTTTAAATTAACAATTTTATTAACGGGCAAAAAAAAAAAAAAAGGAACTTCCGCCCAAAAATTCCGGAAGTTCCATGGAGGATCCGCCTGGAATTTCCGGATCCTCCATGGAACATCCGGAATTTCTGGGCGGATGTCACTTCCGCCCAAAAATTCCGGATGTTCCATGGAGGATCCGGAATTTCCAAGCGGATCCTCCATGGAGCTTCCGGAATTTTTGGGTGGAAGTTCCTGGGATCCGAAATTAAAAAAAAAAAAAAATTACCTCTTCGCCACCATCGCCGCCGCCTCCGCCGCTGCCACCAGCGCCGCCGAAGCTCCTCCCTCCGAATCTCAGCCTAATCCGCCTCGAATCACCCATTTTTTTTTATGTTTATGATGATTTTTGTTTTTTTAAAAAATGAAGAAAAATTTTTGAATTTTTTTTTAAATAGAGTGTTTTAAAGAGTTAGAGAGTAAGAGAGTAAGAGAGTTAGAGAGAGAAGTAAGAAAGTGAGAAATGTTGGTCGGGAAGGAAAAAACCGTATTTATATATTAGGGGTAAAATTGGAATTTCAAGACAAAAAGGGAGTGTTACCCGGTAAAATGGGAGCGACAAATAACAACACCCTTATCAATAGCAACCCGTATATAATCAACTTTTTTTTGACACGAAATGATGTTACAAGGGGGATTCGAACCCTCATCTAGTTAAACCTGAAATTGGGCCCCTTGACATATTGTTTCTAGCCCACTACCAACTTAGCTAAGGCAAACTTCTTGTTTATTCTTACACTCAATTTTATATAACTATTTTCCCAGTTTTATTTTTTTTCCTAAAATTTTTTTTCCTCTGTTTTTTTTTTTCGAAAGTGGGGGGACATCTTGTTCCTTCATGGGTCCGCCCATGCCTCAATTCCCCTTCAAATTTTAGTGTTCAAATTCAGATGACACCAACCCAGAAGAAGCCAAAATTATTGGAAGACCTCAACAACATCAACAATGGCGTCGGCAGCAGCAGCAACAATGATGATGATGAAGACAATAGACTAAGGCTATGTTTGGATAACAAAAAATTGGAAAGAAAGGAAGGGAAGGGAAAGGGAGGGAGAAAAACTTCCTTGTTTGGATAATATGTTGGGGGAGGGAAGGGGAGGGGGAAGGAGGGATCTATTTCCCCTCCTCCTTTAATAAAGACCATCCCTTCAAAATTGGAGAGATTTGGAGGGAAAATGGAGCTCATCATTTCCTCCACTTTCCCTTCCTTCCCCTTCTTCCTATTTCCCTCCCTTCCATTTCCCTTCTAATTTGTTATCCAAACATAGCATAAGTTCTCTACCAAAAAACCTCCTTATCACCATACTCAATTTCCTCCCCATCAATTCCGCTGCCGCTACCTCAGTCTTATCTAGCCGATGGCGCTATGATTACATACATCAAAAAGTTATATATAGAAAAATATTATTGTATGGTATATAGTACTTGTATTAAATAAAAGAGTAATATATTTGTGGAATATTATAAATAAAATATACTTAATTCATAGGAAGGGATTAATTACAGTATAATACTCCATATTAAACATTCTGTACGAAAAACAAAATAACTTGTCACAAAAAAAAAATAGCTTTGGAGGAATTTTTTTTACAAATGGATGACACGTGTCATTTCTGGTTTTTCATTTAGTATATAGCTATGGATAGTCAGTCATTGATTTTTTCTACGTAGATATTGATCATCAAGGTAATTTTCTTGGCAAAAATAATTAATAAAAAATCTTATGTTGATAATCTATATGATATTTTCCTAAAGATGTGATTGTTTATTGTTCTTTCTATAATTAAAGATTTAGACAATAATTAATTTATTACAATTAAAGTCGTTATTTATAAAAGATTTTCTAGAAAGAAATAAAAAAATTAGGAAAAATTGTAAATAATAATCCCAACTTTGCTCCATTTTCTTTTAATAATCCCAACTTTGGATTATTCTAGAATAATCCCAACTTTTGGGGTTGTTTTCTTTCTTCAATCCCAAACCAGTCAACAAAAGTCAATGACCTCTAATAGTAGGTCATATTACACGTGTCAGCTTATCATTGGTGGAAAAAAATTAAAAAATAATAATAATAAAAAAAAACCCAGAAAACACCCAGCCTCCCACTAGAACCCCTCACGCCCCAACCTCATCCATCGCCTCGCCCTCCGCCACCAAAAAACCCATGCCCACACATCAAAAACACCAACCTCCCCTCGCGTCGGAAACCTTCGCCGCTCGATCAAAAACCACAAAACACCACCAGCCCTCCTCCCTTCTCATTTTCTCTCTCCTCGATCTTCCTAACCAACCGCCGCACCACCACCATCTTCCGACACTTGCAACGCTTATACCTAACAAACACCTACATCCCAGGCAAAAAACTCCACCCCATCTTCAAAACCCCTTCAAAACAACCTTCTAGCTTCAAATCAATTCTCACAAAGTCACAATCGTCATTAACATCGAAGATGAAATCAAATTTTGGAAGGTTTTTGTCGGATTTCACATAGAATTCGCCCCCGCTGGTACCGATTTTCCGGAAGTTGTCGGAGATAAAGGGACGACTTACCGGCGGGAGGAGATTGATGGTTTTACCGGCGAGGGAATTGGAGGGTGGGGTTTGGGGTTCCGGGGAGGGAAGGGGGAAAGGATCGGGGGATTTCAGTTTTCCTTTTTATTTATTTATTTTTTTTTTAAAAATTCAACCAATAAAACTGCACCACGTGTCATTTAAAGAAAAAAATAAATAAAAAACCCATTCAACCGGTAACCGGTCATTGGGATTGAAGAAAGAAGACAACCCCCAAAGTTGGGATTATTCTAGAATAATCCAAAATTGGGATTATTAAAAGAAAATGGAGCAAAGTTGGGATTATTATTTACAATTTTTCCAAAAAATTATTGTTAAAAATCTTATGTTGATAATCTATATGATATTTTCCTAAAGATATGATTGTTTTTTATTCTTTCTATAGTTAAAGATTTAAACATTAATTAATTTATTACAATTCAGGTCGTTATTTATATTTAAGTTAACTTTTTTTTTTATTTTTTTTTTATCTCTTTAAACTTTACTTATAAAAGATTTTCTAAAAAGAAATAAAAAAAAGTTATTGAAAGACATTTAATTCAACTTTTTATATTTATTGATTGATGATTATTGATTATTTATTGATTGATTATTGATGATATAAAGACCCGCCCATTTATCTATGAGACGGATCTAATGGCGGGTCGCCGGGTCATGACTTTTACAGGCCTCGTTCCTATTTACTACCTCTCTCAGACTCAACGTTCTCCATTGAAGCGTTCTCCGTTGAATCTTATCCTTGTATCCCCCATTGAAGCAGCTTCTAAGGTAAGTTGTTTGTTGTTTTCTTCATCATATCAATTTCACAATCTAGGGTTTATATTAATTTAATTATCAGTGCTTTAAGTTTAGGGTTCGTAAATTCTTAGATTATTAAACATCATATCCAAGAGATAAGAAATTTATGTGCGTAATTTGATTATTGAATCAAATATCCCTAAAATTATGTTATTTTTCGAGATAATTCAATATGAAATCTCTTTACCCTGGGCCTAGGGCGGCTGGGCTCCTGCCTGCCTCAGGGACGGGCCTGTCTCTCCTCCATTGAAACATACTCTCAACTCTCCATTAAAGCTTCTTCTGAGGTTACTCTCTTCCATTAAAGCACCGTATGAGGTTCCATACATTCTTACTTCTTCTTTTTAATCATCAAATAATTATTAAACTAACACATTAATTCAACACTCAGCAGACTAAATTTAGGGTTCTTCTGAGGTAGATTATTCAACTATTAATTACAATCACTTAACTCATATAAATTTCATTGTTAAAAATTTTCTCTTAATACCCTTCAAAGAGTATAATTTAATGTAAATTTGCAAGCTTTTTTTTAAATTGGTTAAATTTGGTTGCTAATTTGTTGCAGGATTTTGTTGATAAAATTCTTTAATGTTGGGACTAATGTGTGAAAATGGGGTTTTTCTCCCTGGAACTAAAGTGGCTGCCCCTCCTGCTCTTTGTCCGGATCGGGCTTGGGCTTCTTCGTCTGTTACTTTCAAATCAGATAACAGCAAGAAACTTCTCTCTTGCAAAGCTTCCATTGATGCTCCTAATTCTTCAATCAAGTATGTTTTTTTTTATTTTTTTTATTTTTAATTGTATTTTTGTTAGAATTGTATTGTTTATTCTTGATTTTGAAGTTTTATACTTTGCTATCTCTTCTATACAATTCCCTCTGTCAAACTAGCTATTTGCTATGTCTGTCTATGCATTTTGCAGTGATTTTGAGTGCTATGTTCTCAATTAATATGCTTTAGCTTGTACGGCCGTGTGTTTTGTGTTGGGTTTTGGGGGGTGGGATTATTTGCACATTTGGGTTTTTTTTTTGGGGTTTAAGGCTCTAGATGAATTATGGGTATATTCAGAATTTCTATATATTTGAATGAATTGATAGTAAAAACATAAGGGTTTATTCACTAATTCTATGCTTAAGCTTGCATGGCCGTGCATTTTATGTTGGTTTTTTTTTTTTTTTTTTTTTTGGGGGGGGGGATTATTTGCACATTTGCGGGGTTTTTCGAGGGTTTAAGGCTCTACCTGAATTATGAAGGTTAAGAGAAATGTGGGTATATTCAGAATTTCAAAATTTATTAATGAATTGATAGTAGAGACATAAGGGTTTCTTCACTATTTCTTTAATATGCACATTAATTAATACTGCAATTGATAAAAAAAAAAAAAAAATGTGGGTTTGTTTGAATTATTAAGAATACGAAGTACGTAGTAGTTGATTGATGAATTGATGATTTCAGTATTGTAGTTTCTGACCAGGAAATTGGGGTTATTTGTTGCTTTGTTGTGTTTGATCAGGAGTGAGACTAAGGCTTTGGTTGTACAAGGTGTGTCTGAAAAGGTTGTGGGTGTTTTGGGAGGTGGGCAGCTTGGTCGCATGTTATGCCAAGCTGCATCAGAAATGGCTATCAAAGTAGCTATTTTGGACCCCTCTGAGAACTGCCCTGCTTCTCCTTTCTCACATTATCATATGGTTGGGAGCTTTGATGACAGTACCACAGTTGAGGAATTTGCAAAAAGGTTGGAATTTCAGTAAATAAAGTCCATCCCTCACCCTCCATCCCTTTCTTCGGAAGTTCGTTTATGTATTCGACAATACTGACCAAGTGTCCTTTTGGGGGCTAGATGTGGAGTTTTGACAGTGGAGATTGAGCATGTTGATGTTGCCACCCTTGATAAGCTTGAACGACAAGGAGTTGATTGCCAACCCAAAGCCTCTACCATTAGGATAATTCAGGTATAGATATATACTCACAGTATATTATATATTTATATGGTACAAAAAATTGATGATCTTAGTTTTTTTATTCATGAAATTGGCAATTGTTTTTGTTATACAAGATATTTACTTTTTTGCTATGTTTGTGGGGGACATGTGAAGTACAATTAGGGGAAGACTTAAACTATCAAATAATGAATTTTGTGTCTGTCTGTCTATATTACTTTTTATGCAGGATAAATACCTTCAGAAGCTACATTTTTCTCGACATGGGATCCCTTTGCCTGAGTTTATGGAGGTGGGTAGTGCCCTATGAGGTATTAGTCAATCTACAAATTTTTAGGAAGCATTTGTTGCTGCTTGTAATTCCGTCTTTAGGGATCCTACAGTTGAATTATGTTTAACACAGATAGATAATGATGAAAGTGCTAGGAGTGCTGGAAAGCTATTTGGTTATCCTCTTATGATCAAGAGTAAAAGGCTTGCCTACGATGGACGTGGTAATGCTGTTGCTAAGTGTGAAGAAGATCTCACTTCTGCAGTCAGTGGTATGATCTTCTCTATCGAACTCTATAAATTGACTATGAAGTGTTTTCATAGAAACTTTTTGGCAGTAATTGATAAGAATTCATAACCTTCTGTTATCTCGTTGTTGTTCTATATGTTCAATCTCCTTTCCTTTAATATCTTGTAATTTTTTTTAATCAAAAGGATGATATAATTGCTCATTTGTGACTCTAGGATTCATTTGCTTAAATCAAACTACATTGAAACTTCTCTCTCAAAAAAAAAAAAAAAAAAAAAAACTACATTGAAACTGTGGAATTTCTTTGAAGATAGGGGGAACATGTGATTTTTTAATTGGCTACTGTTTATCAGAACAAGAGAAGAATGTGCTTTGATAGGAGACATCTGAGTTCCCTTTAGATGTCTTAAAGTGCTTGACATTATATTCTAAGCATCTAGTAAATGGCGAGCTGGTTTCTTTTTACTACCTCTGTTGTCATGACTTATGAGTGAGCGGTCCAATGAATATTTTTACTTGAACTGTCTAGTCTTATAGGTTGTTCGTTCCCATAAACAATAGTCCCTCTCTTTCTTTGTCTGTTTTCCCCCTTCTCTTTGCTACTTGTTTTTCTACCTTTTGACTTTTTCTCCGATTAAAATGTGCAGCTCTAGGGGGATATGAGCGAGGCTTGTACGTCGAGAAATGGGCTCCATTTATAAAGGTTAGCATCACAATATTAGAAGCACTGAGTTGTTATTTTTATTTCTTTATTGTGCATATTATAAATGGTTATTCTTGTTGTTAACAGAATGATCTGCATAACGCAGGCAAGATTTTAAATTCGTCTGAACTGTATTACTCCGTACATTCTTATTAAAAATTAAACCAATTATGGCGTAACATTCTGTCTTGGGATAAGAATGTATATGCCCGAAATCATTAAAATGGAACAACATGATCTGGCTGATTTTTGCCGTTTATGCACGAGAAGGCTAAGATACTCTTTTTGACCTGGGGGTCAAGTTCAATATGATCTACCGCTATGTACATTTGAAACGTTCTAAGGCTGGTTGTCTAAAGAAACATATAATATGTGCTAAAACATCCACTTTGAATATATAATTAGGCTGGAAATTCTTTTTGGCAAGCAGAGGCTGTAGTCAGGTCTTGGGTTAACATCCGTGAAAAACTGAGAATGTTCTGTACATTTTTCAAGTGGTATAAATAGTTTTGTACCCCCCTTCTTTTTTTATCTTCTAATGCTAATTCATATGCCCAAGGAATTATGAAATAAGTTGATTAAGAGTAGGGTGAGCCATACGTTTCATTTCTTGAGCAAGTATAACCTCCCCCCCCCCCCCCCCCCCCCGCGCTCTCTCTCTCTCAAGGATTTTCGTAAGAGTAAGAAAAGTGAAGCTTCTGTTACTTCTGAACTCACATGGAAGCTTTGGCCCCAAACTCCCATTTCTGTACCTAACAATTTGCTATATTATTGCTGGAAATCCGGATTGGATATATGAGACCTCATCTTAATCATGAATTTCTTGAATGCTATGGGAATTGCTTTATATCTCTGTTAGGAGTTGCTGCAGGAAGAAGGCAGAAAAGTAGCTACAAAAGAGAGACAAAGAGGGAAAAGACTATTATTAGTGGAGAATAGGGAGAGAAATATGGAGAAACCTATTTAGTGTTAAATTCCTGCTTTTGTTATTAAACTTTTGGATCATGATGCAAGTACGTGTTTTGAAAGAAAAGATTATTCTTTTATCTAGCAATTTCTAATAACATATACTGCTTGATCAGGAATTGGCAGTCATTGTTGCAAGAGGAAGAGACAATTCTGTCTTGTGCTATCCTGTTGTTGAAACTATACACAAGTAAGTGTTTGTAAAGTTGTGTTTAGAAAGTGGTTTGACATTTTTAAGTGCTTAATTTGTCACACCTGCATGGATCAGAACTTGTTTATTTATCCATTCCCCAATAAAAAGAGGAACCGAAAAATATGTTTACTTATTGGCTGCGGGTGTTTTGGTAGGGAGAATATTTGTCACATTGTTAAGGCTCTAGCTGCTGTACCATGGAAAGTAAGAAAACTAGCCACTGATGTTGCACATAAAGCTGTAAGTTCTTTGGAAGGTGCAGGAGTCTTTGCAGTAGAATTGTTCTTGACGGAGACTGGAGAGGTTTGTTTTTTTGTTAATGTTGAGCATTTTGGAGGGTTATTTTTTTATCTATTCTTATCCTTGATTTGACTTTATGTATTTTGGTTTATACGTCTACAAACCATTCTTTCCATTTCTTTTGCTGTACACTAAGTCTACATTTGGTTGTGGCAGATTTTGCTTAATGAAGTAGCTCCCAGACCGCATAATAGTGGACATCATACTATTGAATCATGTTATACCTCTCAATATGAGCAGCATTTGCGAGCGGTTATTGGTCTTCCACTTGGTGATCCATCTATGAAGACACCAGCTGCAATCATGTATAACATATTAGGAGAAGATGAGGTGATTCTTTTTTCCTTGCATGTCTATCTCATTTTGAGTTAGCTGATGATGCACCCCAATTTCTATATGATTCATCTTTATTCTTTTAGGGGGAACCAGGTTTCCGTATAGCTCATGAACTCATGACAAGAGCTCTAGCTTTGCCAGGGGCGTCTGTTCATTGGTATGACAAATCAGGTTTGTGAGAGAATCCCATTCTGAGTTCGTTTTATCCTTTCTCCTGAGGCTACATGATCATGTTTCATGAATCATAACACTGCCGATTTGTCATTGCAGCAATGAAAAGGCAACGCAAGATGGGTCACATCACTATTGTTGGCTCTTCTATGGGCATTGTGGAGGGACATCTGAAATCCTTGTTGAAAGACGACAACCCGGATGGTTAGTTAGCAAGGACCTGATTTGTTTTTTTCTTTCTTATTTGGAAGGGGGCGAGGGGGGTTTGTAGGTTTTGATTGTTTTCTGCTGCCGCACCTAAACTATAATAGAGGTTGCTTCCATTATACTTTATGCTCATCTTGTAACTATCATTTGCCATTTTACAGTCGATAAGCGCACATATATAGTGAACCAATTTTATTTGGTCCATTATAATCTAAAGCTAAAGAATTGACAAAATTTTGAGCTCCATTTGAAAGTCACAGCTTATCTTTGACTTTCCTTGTAGTCATCTATTTGGGATAAAATTTCAAAATTGTGCGAGGCAAGGGACGATGAGACAATTGGCGGCGGGAGGAGGAGAGAGCAACTTTAGCGGGGTAAGGAGGGGAGAGAGGATGTACAACTGTGGTGGGATGGTTTTTGTTGAGAGGAGAGAGAAAAGTGAAAGGAGATGTAAAATTGTGGTGGTGGTGGTGGTGTGAGGGAGGAGAGAGAATAGTGGTGGTGACGGTTGGAGCCTTGGAGGGTTAATGTGATGGCTGTGATGGAGGAGAGAATAAAAAGTCAATTGCCAAAAAATGTGAAAATTACGGCAAGGTTTGATCTTTTTTTTTAAGAAAAAAAGTGTTTTTAAAAGGTTGTTTATTTTTTTTGACAAACTTTCCTTTGAAATAAAAATGTTTACAACTTTATAAGGTACCTTGTCACAAACTCATAAAAACGAATAGAAAAGTTGCTATATCACATACTATGTTTTAAATAGTCCAATCAAATTTTTTAATAGATAACAACAAATAGCAACAACCAAAGCTTTAATCCCTATATGATAGGGTCAGCAGCATGTACCAAGATGTTATTTCTGTTGGTCTTTGACATAGATCCTCTCTCATCATTCCCTTTATTAAGTGCTATATGCTCTTGTAAATCCTATCTCTTAATATAATTATGAATCGCTCAATCCAATTTATCTTTGGTCTTCTTCCTCAGCAAATTTAGCAACAAATGAAAAAATATAACACCACCAAAAACAAAGGGAGCATTTACCCTGTTGGTCGAGGACATGCTACCAATGTATAATAAGGTGTGCCTAGGCGCTAGGGGATTAGGGTAAAGCGCCTTTAATGCTCTAGGCAACGCGCATTCAAAGAGGTGCACCTGAGGCGCACATAGGCAAATTTTTCAATTGATTTATATTGTGCAAGGCGCACCTTGGTGCAGCAGGACCTTCATCGTCTAATTGTTCCTTGAGCCTTTTTATACATTGCATAGTACAAGATCTACATAGTGATGTCTGTTCCTTTCGTTATTCTTCATAAAATGTTCCCCATTACTGGATCTGGGAAGCTATCATAAGATTTGAAACCTAGCGTCTTATATTTTTACTTATTACAGTTAGTAAATGCTAACATCGTGCTTTGAAAGTTCCACCAATGTAGTGAAAGCAGTTTGTGGACTGCTGTTAGTTTGTAATTCTAGTATGGCAAGCGATAATGTAATTAAAACCAGCAATTTTGAAGCCATGCTGCTTGGCGTTTCAAAGTGAGCTGCGTTGTCGTAGTTGAGGACCTTTATTATGTGTGAACCTTGTTAGATTGTTGTGGGAATTCATGCTCTTTCTTTTTTAGATGCAGTCTCAGCTCGAGTTGGAATCATTATGGGATCCGATTCAGACCTTCCCGTCATGAAAGATGCCTCCCGGATCTTAAATATGTTTGGAGTGGCACATGAGGTGAATTTCTCACTTCTGTGAATTATATATGCCAGTCTGACACAGTGGATCTTCATGTAATGCAGCTGGCATTTGTTGATTTTTGCAGGTCAGAATTGTTTCTGCACACAGGACTCCAGATATGATGTTTTCATATGCTACATCTGCTTGGGAACGAGGTATCCAAGTTATCATTGCTGGTGCTGGTGGTGCAGCTCATTTGCCAGGTTACTTATTTAACACTTGCCTATTCCTTCAGATCTCTGTATTATGTTGACAATCTTGATTTATTTAGTGTGTTTTTTTCAGGAATGGTTGCAGCACTTACTCCAGTACCAGTAATTGGTGTCCCTGTGCGTGGTTCCGCACTGGATGGAATGGACTCACTCTTGTCAATTGTTCAGGTATTCTGTACAAATTTATTAAGTGTTAGCCCCTTCTCGTCCTATACTTGGATTGTGGAAAGGTTGGATGTTGGAAGCTCTAGATGTTTATTTCTTAAAAATTCAATCGCTCCCTGTGCATGTTGCATGGACGTAGGAGTCCCTTGTACTACTGTGCATGATTTCCTCATTTCTTAAATTAGTGTAACGAAAATAGTTTTATTTGCCTTTACTTTTTTAAAAGAAAAAGAAGGCTTAAAATATTACACATGGTCGTGGTTGGTGGTGGTGGTGTTGGTTCATGTACATTTTACAATTTCTTGTCTAAACCTGTGTTTGACTGTTTAGGTATATGTATAGCCATTCGTCTATCTTTGGGTGATATTATTGAATATGGCTTGTGTACTTTATCAATTTAGATGCCTAGAGGGGTTCCTGTTGCAACGGTTGCAATAAACAATGCTACAAATGCTGGGCTTCTCGCAGTGAGGATGCTGGGTGTTGCTGATTCGGACTTGACCTCTAGGTTAGTCAAACTGGTCTTCCACTTCTTTTTTGTTTTTTTTTTTCTTGTAATATGAAAAATGACAAAGCATGCACTTTTTCTTTTTTTTTTTTTTTTTTTTTTTTTAACCAATTGATGAAACTAAGAGATGTTTAAGGAGGTATTTTGCATGATACTAAAGCTCATGCTGTGCTTTTGTTCCTGTAGAATGGCCCAGTATCTTGAAGATGCTAAAAATGATGTGTTGGTAAAGGCTGAAAGACTACACAAAGATGGGTGGGAAGCTTATTTGAACAACTGAGAAATGTTCTCTCATTATCAAAGGGGGAAATTGTTGCACATCAATAAACTACATCCCCAAAGAACATGGACTCACGGAGTGAACATAGATGTGCGATTCTTTTGCGGCGAGGAGCAGGCTAGGATGCCACCACAAGCAACTCATACCAAGCTATAAAAATTGAAGGATGAGAGTGCGTATGATGATGAGCCATCACTCGTGTGTCGGAAAACATAAGAAATCCCTTAAATCATGAGATGGATACTAAAGAGATGTTTTAGAGGTGTATTGCATTATACAAAAAGACATCCTGTAGTTTGGAATACTCCAAAGCCCATTTAGAAAGAAGGTAGGGACAAAGCACAAAGTGGGTTAACCCCATGAAAAAGCTACTGTACTATTCTATCTTCTGTATCTTATTTTCCAATGCGTAAAATGTACAATTTTGGCACGTAATAATCATTAGTTGGCCCCTAAATTTGTATGTTTCTGACTAAAGGTATGTTTAGGATAAAAAAGAAAAGTGCTTTGAACTGTAATAAAAATGAAAAAGCTTGTTAGCCACCAGATGCCTAAAAATATCAAAAAACCCATCACGGATATGGCTAGATTTAAATTAGATTTTTTTTTTTTTTGGGGTTATTGGGTAAGCAATTTTATTAATACGAAGTATCGAATTAGATTACAATACCTTTATGTAGCAATGAATGTTATTCGACTTCATTCTTTACAACAATACAAGAAATTATTATGTAAATCAGTAAATGTATCCTTGATGTACTAATAACAATAAGGATATACAAGTAAATGATTGAAACAATTCATTAGCAAGCAAGGAATGAGACATTGCAATTAAAAAAAAAATCATAAATGCTATAGTATTTGGTTAATGATACCTTCTTTCACATAATCTTGTGGTTTCATTTTGATTTGCTCAAATTGTCTAACTTGTGCTTTATAAGTTAAGTGAAAACTTACATGTTAGAAAAGTTTTCTTTTGCTGGTGTACTAGTATGTTGTACTGCAGGGGCCAGAAAGATCCTACATATGAAATTCTGATGGAATGGTAAAATTGTGGACCATTAACAAAAAGATCATTGCTCCCATTATTAGTCCTACACATACTGTGTTGTACTTGAGGACCGCGGAGTTTTGATAGCTCCTCGGCCATCGCTGATGGCCCAGCAGAGCCCTTTATGCTCATCAGATCATAACAAAAATAAGTGCACAATCTACACCACTAAGAATGTATGGATGGATAGTTTTGCTGATGCTGTAACCATATATCTGCTAACGTGCCTAATGATGAGGTAACCTTAATTGATTGAGGAAACGACATTATCAAAGAAATCGAGAGGGATGAGACGACAGAGAGTACTGTGGTGCAGCTGTTAGGATATAACAAAACTCAAGTTTGATCATCTGATTACTTAGGTCCAAAGACAAGCTAATGAGAAATTGTTATTTCGAATACTCGAATGTGATGTTCTGTTGCCTAACATTTGAAGCCAATTGTTCTTTTTGTCATTCCAGATGGAAGGCAGCCTAATGTGCAATGTGCACTTGTGCATAAGCAGTTTTTTCCTTGAGAGTTGGTTATATAGTTTACTTAGTCCAATACACTTAATTTGATTGTGCTAACTAGGACTAATTGAAGGCTTTGAAGCAGCTTGCAGAATTGAGGGTGTCTAATATTAAGTATATATTAATTTGGATCGATTGGAGTGGTTTGAGTAACTACAGAAAAATCAATAGACTTGTGTGAGATTATAGATGATTAGGTTGTATGAATGAATACACTGCTTTACAAAAATAGACATTTGTGAGTTTGTGACTTCATGTATTGTTCACCTTGTATTTACTTTTTTTTTTTTTTACAAGAAAAGGATAATATATTACCACTAGATGATTAAAACATCTAGGAAATCATAGTTTTGGAACAAAAGGGGCTGCCATGGTTGCATAGTAGCAGAAAATTGCAAACCAATAGGCCAAAACCAACAACTAGAAAGAAAGTAAAGGAAAGCTGGAAATAAATATGTATATAAAAGCAGGGAAGCAAAGTAGTAGTAGTGGATAGGGGAGCCCAGCAGCAGGGACTCAAGGAACACTTCAGGAAGGAGATTAGTTGCCATCCATCATGGAGATGGAGTTAGCAAGCTCCTTGGTGTAGGAGTGAGTTAGACCAGGAGGGGAGTAGAAGTGAAAAAGAATATCGTCATCAGTCATCCCCCTGCCAATTTCTGCCAGACCATGAGCAATCTTGTTAGCAGACCTCTTGAAATGGAGCACCGTAACCTGCCATTCCCTTTTGAGAAGCTGAGAGACATCATTGATTATGTTGAAGAGCTGATGGTCCATGTAGAAATGTGGGTTTTGAATCATGTAAGTGAGAGCTTGTGCATCGGTTTCCAACTCAAGGAACCTTATACCTCTTTCCCACGCAGTGTTAAGACCTTCCCTAATGGCGAGAAGCTCAGCTGAAGCAGCCCCTAGAGTCTTGATACTCATAGTGTACCCAATCTGCCACTTCCCTTTTTCACAGCGTATGACACCTCCAGCACCGCCTTCTCCCAAGCTTAGCCAAGAACCATCTGTATTGAGTTTATAGTAACCCCTTTGAGGGGGGAACCTTATATTTACTTATTTCTGATTAAATGATCAATTAAAATCATATCAAACTAGATAAGTTAAATCACATGTACTTATAAGGTGAACTATACGAGCTTTAAGCCAACATATTTTTTTTATTTTTTTTCCGATTGGAAGAAGATTAATTTCATTAATCAAAAGTCACAAGTAATCCACAACAATACTAAAACATTTTCAAACCTCACATTAAGGGAAAAATAACATAACGTTTACAATCAAAATCATAACAATTTTGCATATTTGGCATATTTCACATGCACTCCATCACTTCAAGCTTAACGTGAGCAATGAATTTTAAAGTTTTCACTTTAAATAGAGTCATTGTAGAGTTGATGACAAAGTCTAAATTCACATGAATCTAAAGTATCTTTTCTATTGTAATCAAAATAAAATTTGGAAAAATTTATAAAAGTGGAATAGACTCTCGAAAATTGAAAGAACAAAGCAAAACAAACAAATTGTTAGAGTGTGAATAAATACAATATGTTCTGTTTTATTTTGTTTTGTTTTGTTATCTACCTCCCTTTCGTCAATCTAAACACAACTTTAGACCATACAAATTGTATAGATCGATCTTACCTTGACTGGTTTGACTTATCTAATAGTAAGACTTTACTCCCTCCGTCCTCTTTTGATAGTCCCTTATTGACAAATTTTAGTCCCAAAATGTTTAATCCATTTGCTTTTTTCAACAACCATTAATATTATTTTTTTACCAAAATTCCCTCCCATTTACAACAATATTTTTGCAAATTTAACTTTCTATGTAAATTTTGTTTTCCAATGTTCTTTTATTACTTTTTCTCTTTACTTTTTTATATACCAATGTTAATTTACTATTTCAATGTACTTTAACTATTCTTATTTGTGTTTATTAATTCCCGTGAAAAATGTCGGACTATTAAAAGAGGACGGAGGGAGTAATTAGTGAAGTCATCAATAATTTGTTCAACGCGGAGATCATAGTCCATTAGACCGTGTAAATTACACACAACACATGGACGGTTATGATAATTTCAAACATCAAATATCATAAGTTTCCTTTCAAAAAAAAAACAATAAAAAAAAACAACTAACTAATCATAAATTTAAGCAAACTTCTCACGTGCTCAATAAATTTAATTAATAATATAACAAAATTACAAAAATACTAAAATAGGTAGTCTAATCAAAAGTCTTCCATCAATTTTAACCTTTCTCATTCACTCCACCACCACCACTAACCAAAAATAATTTCCATGTCACTTAATGTGTACAACTATATATATTTCCCAACTAATTCCTTACTCTTTTAAAAGTACACAAATTTCCTCTCTTAAAAAAAAAAAAAAAAAAAAAAATCTTGATTCTCAATCTAAATGACTAAATCTCTACTATAAAGAAAAGAATCAGGTGCTTATTTTTTTTGCGTTGGATAAAAACACTAGAGTTTTTAAGACTTGAAAATAATGGATAGTTTTGTTGAAGAATACCCTCTTTATTGGGGAACAGCTGACATCGGAATGTATTTCGATAATCAAGACTTCGATAGGTGTGTTCGATTACCTTATTTTTGCTGATCTCATAACTTTGATTTCTTCTTTGTTTTGGTTTTGGTTTTGATTTTGATTTTGATTTTGATCTTATATTTATATTTGATATTGAGTTATATTTGTTGGTAGTTTGGGATTAGATGAAACATTATCATCTTACTATGATTACGATTCGAGCTCGCCGGATGGGTGTGCTTCTTCGATGGCTTCTAAGAACATCGTTTCGGAAAGAAATCGTCGCAAAAAACTTAATGAGCAACTTTACAATCTTCGAGCTGTTGTTCCCATCATTTCTAAGGTACCGAAAGATTGTTATATTCACCCGGGTGTATATATTTTTTTATTTTTCCATGATTTTGAAATAGCTGCATACTGTTATAAGTAGTTGGTAGTTGTTGAATTTAAATTTTCAGGTTTGAATTTTATCTATATTTGGCCCGTTTTGACATCTTAGAGTATAATTTTTTCTTTATGTTCAACATTTAGCTAGAATTAGACACTTTATAAGTGCTGATTTTACTATTTCTAGTAATTGAAATCTTTCTGGCAAGTTGAACCTACAAATTTTGACAAATTATTAACTAAATGAACTTTTTATTTATTTGTTTTTTTATTTATGTACAAAACTAGATGGACAAAGCATCAATAATCAAGGATGCAATAAACTATATAAAAGAGCTTCATGAACAAGAACGGAGAATCAAATCTGATATATCGGATCTCGAATACCGGAGATCGAAAAATGGAATTGACAATACATGTTCAATGATGGATTATGAACAAGAGTTGTCTGGTTTACTAATTAAGTCCAAGAAGAAGAGGACTGATCATCGGAAACAACATTATGACTCCAATGGTTGTTGCCGAACATCTATCGATGATTTAGAAGTAAGTGGGTGTTCAAAATCAAATTCGGTGAATTTATTTTTCGTATTTCTTAGAGCACTATCAATGGTGAGCTAAAAATTTGCTCATGGGCATTTTGGGTGGGCATAAAATTTGCTCATGCATTACAATGGTGAGCAAATGAGAAAAAGCTAAAAAATGCTCATGAGCATTTCTGAAAATGCCCAAGACTTGAGCATTTTTGAAGATGAATAGTGCTCCGGTGGGCCCCACAATTTGCAATAGTTATATTTTTTGTAACGCAAATTCTGAAATAAATATTTATTTAAAAAAAAAAATTAAAATTACCAACGGTCATAAAATTTAATTCTCTATAAATAGACATGCATTTTGGTATATTTTGGTATAATTTCAGAAATACCATAAATCCTCCATATTCTTTATTTTAACGATAAAAACGACACAAATAAAAAAAAAGTTACACAAATTTAGACTAGTTTTTATTTATTTGGAGTAATATTGTTAAAATATAAATGAAATTAATAAATAAAGAAGTGTTGTGTAGGAGAGAGAAAGTAATAGTGGGGTATTGGAAAAGTAAGAGAGAGAGAGTAGTGGGCAAGCATTTTTTTTTTGCTCACCATTAGGAGAGAAATTGTGAAAAAAATTTACCCATGGGAAAAACAGATTTGTTGAGAGAGAAAGTGGGTAGAGAGATAGTGGGTGGACATTTTTTTTGCTCACCATTGAGAGTGGTCTTAGGGTTGAATAATTAATTTTTATCATGATATACGCATTTTTATTTGAAATATAATTAAATCATGTATCAATCTGTGTAATTAATATTTTGATAAACTTATAATAATCACAAATTTTCATTTTAGAAGTATTTTAAGTAGTTGTAGCTTTATTGTCAATGATTGATGCAACCACTTAAAAAATATGTGCAATAAAGCCAATAATGGTCTGACTAAATCTGAAAGATATGATAAAATTGTATAATATTTATGAATTGTTATAATATTATGGTAGATGTTAATTAAATTGTTGTTTGATTAAATACAGGTGAGGGTGTCATACGTGGGGGAGAGGACTATAGTAGTGAGCTTGACTTGCAGTAAAAGAGAGGGCACAATGGTAAAATTGTGTGAGATGTTTGAATCTTTAAAGCTCAAGATAATAACAGCTCATATCACTGCTTTTGCTGGGAGACTTTTGAAGACAGTTTTTCTTGAGGTCAGTCTCTTTCTTGCTCCCCATTAATTTCTGTATGTGGTTTTGATTTACTCCCATCACTTGACCTAAATTTAGTACGTAGATTTCAAATTGGTGGATATTCTATTAGATTCATGAGTCTATCACCAGTGTGTCTATGATCTTGTAGATGTCAATTAGATTATACGGAGTAACATCTTAAAATTACTACTTCTTCATGAATTAAATTGCATCTATATTATTATTTGTTAAATAGTCTAATGAAGAACATTTAATAATGTGATTAATCAACCCCGGCCTTATCAAGGTGACACATTTTTTGATAGGAATCAACTCAATTTTAAATTATCTATAATTGATTTCATTTACATTTTTCAGTCACATTTAGGTTAACTTTGTATTGGGTAATAAATTAGGACTTGAAACCAACAAATTTCGAATTCCTTTTATCAAAAAAAAAAAAAAAAAAAAAATTCCTTGTTAAAGAGGGTAACCCCTTTTTTTTTTTTCTAGATAAATACTTCATTCATTATCTATTAGATTAAGTACTTTATTTTCTCATGCACTTGTCAATACATATTTTCAATCAATATAATAATGTTAATTTATATTAAGTAAAAATCTAGAGTAATAAATTGATTTAAAAAATAAATAAAGGAAATAGAATATGTACATAATGTAAAAGTTTTAGTGAAATGAACTTAAAACAACATTGCGACTTTAAACCACAAATAACATAAATATTCTAAACCATGTAATCAAATTCTAGAACCTACAATACATAAATTGTATTTTAGCTTAGATGTGGCAAAAATTGACCCCGACATATTTAATCTGACCTACTTCGAAAGTGATTTGATTCAATTTTTGATCTACATGGATACAATGATTTAACACAATTTTAAACCCAACCAAATCTGACTAAAGTACGTGAATTAATACATCTGGCTTCACTAAAGACATGTTTAATCAAATGATATGACAATTAACCTATTATAAATGTACGGGTCTTTTGGTTTTTGTCTCTATTGACATAATTGATGTTATCGGTGAGAATCTATCTTAAGTCGAACTAATTACTAAAATCTACGAAGTATTCCATATACATGAAAAAGATCATATATACACACCTTATATACTAGAGAGAATTTGAATTTGTCAAAGTTTCAAGATTAGATCGGTAATTCAACTCCTTTTTCAGGTCTTCAAAAAACAAAAAAACGTATACATTTTGTAAATTAGTTTAGATTATTGTGGTAAAACCCGAAAATATATATATATTTTTAAGTAATACATTAATAATATGACTGAATTTATTTTTAAAATTATTATTACATTATTTGAGAGCATATTTTGTATTTGTTACAACTTACAAGTATGACTTGTTAACTTGTTCTAAACTTCTAATTAATGAATAAGACAACAAATTGCAAAGCTTTAGGAAACCATAATAGCCAATTAGTCAATAACATTAAAATGGCTAAACAGTGTTGAAGTGTTGATGGGGGTGGGCCCATAAAACAATAATCGTAGAAAAAAAAAGGCCTTGAAATTCGTTCATATGGCCAGGTTTAAGCGGCTGGGCTTTGACGTTTTAAAGCTTCGATAACCGTATAAGCCAGCTCAATTGCTCAATCATTTATCTGAATCATTTGCATCACTTAATAAATAAATTACTCGTATAAAGAATACTATGGTCTTAATCTCTATACAGTTATATGTTCGATTAATTTTTTTTTTTAAATTGAATTATTTGATAGTGTAGCATACTTAATAATTCATATTCTGCACTCGTATATTGCAATAATGTGTATTGATAACATTTCTAAAATATATTACGATCAATACCGTATTTAATTGAATTTCATTGATAAATGATGTCCTCATAATTCATATAATTGTACAACTTTACAAGTGATAATTATGAGCCTGTTCTCATTGACTGAGCTGAATTGAACTGAATATTTTATAAGAGAAGGAAATTAGGAGCTGAACTAAACTGAAAATAAACGTATGAGAACAGGCCCTACTACTAATAATTGTTTGTGATGCAGGAATTATTGTTGAGAAACTAATGATTTAATCATTCACTAATCTTGAGCCATTATAAAAAATACTCATAGTAAATAGACTTATTAAGCATCATTTTTGTTCAAGTAACCTTTGATCGACGAGTAACCTTTAACCCCTGAGTGAGATAGTAACCCTTGACCGAGTAACTAACCCTTTATTGATTTATTAAATCCTAACCGAGTGAGTAACTCCTGATCGACCAAATAACCCCGAATTGAGTAATCTGTGGCCGACTTAGTAACTCTGACTGAGTGAGTGACCCCTATACCACTAACAAAGTAACCCTTATAATAGTTTGTTACACAATGTGATAGATTACACAAATTACGCAAAATATTGTCACATCTCACACACACAAATAATAGAGAAAGATTAATAAAAAATAAAAAAATATAACCTGTGGCAGTCACCAATTACCAGTGACTGAGATTTCAACAAGAGAACCCCACTAGAGCAAATATTATTTTGATAGAACCCCACCAGAGCAATTAAGAAAAGGGGACATTAAGATAATCATACACCGTAGAATTAGTTACGGAGTACATGACACCAAGCAACTCCGTTTTCTATGTCTCCATCCAACAAACAACTTTATTAATGAATACTCGCAATCTTTCCTTTTTTTTTTTTTATTTTTTTTATTTTTAATTTTTAATTTTTAAATTTTATTTTATGGTAAAGGACCCTCTCATCTATCAACCCAAGCTTATGGTTGAAGACTAATATCAGTTTTATTTGTACTCTATTACGACCTATCACAATAGAATGTTAGGCTTGAAGAGTTGATGCAATATGAGCCTATGACATTTTTCACATTTATATTCCACTTAAAAGGGGAGTGTATGATGAAATTTAAGCCTATGACATTTGTGTCATGTTGGCTTATGATACCGTGTTAAAAAAACAATTTCAACCATCCGCTTAACTTAAACTTATGGTTGAAACTCAAGATCTATTTTTATACTCTATTATTTTCTTTTTCATTCATACTAGTTTGTCCCTAAGTAAAAGTCTTAAGTTTCACTGTTCTAATATTTACTTTTAAAGTTTTAATTTAATCAAATTAGTAATATACTTTGTATAATATATTTACCTTTAACCTAACATTCTTTACCTAACATTCCTTATGTACAAAACGCAAATGAGATTTATGTGTTACTGGAAATAGATCATAAAATTATATTACCTCAGTTTCATATTTTTTGCAACTTTTGCCAAAAATAGATGCTACACATTTTAGTTGCAACTATTGTTTTATTTTCTTTTTAGGTTGTTATTTCTCTCTATCTCTCTCTTCATCACACACATTCCTATTTTTCTCTCTCTACCTTTCACTAACAAACAAATTTTGCAGAGAAGTCCGTGTACCCTTCAAAGTTGCAAAAAATGTAAAATAGAGGTAGTAAAAAAATTTCGCATGTCACATACAACACAATGGTTATTTTGGTACTTCAAAAGTTTTATTATATACGAGTTAACTAGATTGTACTAGTAATTGCGTATCTATAACATCTTAAATTGAAAGTGAGGATTAACTGAAGTGGTTAAAGTTTCTCTCTCGATTTTAGGTGGTTATCCTGGGATCGATTCCCATTATATTGAGTAAAATTTGGAGGACCACATAAACAATCTAGATGCAATACAATACATACAGGCTACATATGGTGGACGGTGATTCTTTATGAGTTAGAATGTACTGTTACTCGATTTCACATGGTATGTATGGACAAAAAGATCACATTTCACAACTAATTATACGACTGAAATTTTGGAAAATAGGCCAGTTCACAACTAATTGAACAGGAAAAATGGGTTGCATTTGATAGAGACAGAAAAACACATATTCCGTATTGGTTTGTAATGGAAATTATATTGAAACTTCTACCATGTATGGACCTAAATTCACAGATGATTATTAAGACTTTAAGACTTCCCATATTTTGTGGTTGCATTTGCATTCTACCAATCACGACAAATTGGGAAGTTGCGGGGTAATCTGTCTTAGAATGTTATCTTAATTGGTCAAAGTATTGGTATAGGTTCCCTGAACTCAAATTTTGTCTATATATCATTGTTCATTCGACTTCTGGTACCTTGATTGAGCGAATTCTTGTATTCAATAGCATATGACTTATTTACTTGACTTTGGTAAGTATTGGTACCATTTTTTAAGAAAAATAGATGGAAAATAAAATAATCTTTATTATTTTGCAAAGCTAGTACTTTCACTTTGCCAACTTCTTCAATAGATGTGCATGCTGCATTCACAATAGCACATGCGCTGTTTAAAGTTAGTAGCGTTACCAAGTACGTTATTTGCTGCATTTGATGCATAAAACAAACTAACAAACTAAACTTCTGCATCAATTATCAATGTAATTCATGAAAAGTAACATCATTGGTCTTGTTTTAATTTATTTGATCCATTTAGCCCAAAAGTTCTTCAAATGATTAGCAATTTATATATTTTTGTCACGTTACTATTTCAAATTACGCTGTTAACTAACCTGATTAATGACAAATCAAATAAATGGAGTGTTAGATTAAGAGTATCTTATATCTACGTTCACTTACACCTAATATTGATTTTGTGTCTCTCAGGCAGATGAGCTGGAAAAGGATCACTTGAGAAGAAAGATTGAGACAGTGATATCGTCAACCCACGTCTAACGCACGTCACAGTTTCTCTATCTGCCACTAGTGGGAAGTTTCATTGCAAATATTTTGCTAATTTTTTTGCTTTCTGCTTATTCTTATTGTTTAGGTGGCTGTTTTTTTCTTCTTGTAATACTTGGCTTGTATCAAAAAAAAAAAAAAAAAGAAAAAAAAATCCTTTCTGTTGAGTTTGGAAATTTGCTCAAGAAAAAGAAAAAAAGAAAATTTGATGCTTTCCACTCTTGAGATTGGTTGCTCACTTGTTTTTATAGCACAAATTGAATAATATACGTGGCTTTCGACTAATGATGTTAAAGCAGAGAATTAGGAGAAAATAGCTTGGCTTCTCATTAAGGGGAAACCCCAAAATATATATATATATATATATATATATATATATATATATATATATATATATATATATATATATATATATATATATATATATATCCTATTACTCCTCCTTAAGTTGGAGCATGCAAATATGCAATTCCTCAAAAAAAAAAAAAAAAAAAAAGAGTTGGAGCATGCAAATCACAAATGCCCAACTTGCGTAATAAATAACCAAATTGATTTTGACGAAGGGCTTTGGTCAAAATATCGACCAACTATTGACCGGTAGGCACATATGAGGTAGAAATATTTCCCCTTGCAACTCATCACAAACAAAATGGCAATCAATCTCAATGTGTTTGGTGCACTAATGAAACATTGGGTATTGAGTATCACAATAGACATGCATTGGCATCGAATGAAGCACACCAAGACAACGCAATAAAGATTTCAACCACTTGAACTTACAAGTCGTAACAACTATTGAACGATATTCGCTCTCCACGAACGAACAATCGAGACATATACATTTGGTTGCTTCTTATTATGAAACCGGTGACCGACCAAGAAGCACAAAATAACAAGACAAATAGCGAAGAGTTAAAGGACATGTAGCCCAATCACTATTACAAAAAAGTTGTCACTAGGACGAAGTAAAATACTCTGACCTTGCTGGCCCTTAATATAACGTAAGACACTCACGACAACATCCTAATGAGAAACCTGTGAGTATGAACTGAATAACTCAACTCTAGTCGAGTTATAAAAAGATACACTAAACGCCCAAGCGTCTATACTAATCCAGATGCCCATAGGGATCATTCTCCGCATAACCAACTAATGACTTTGCTCTATTGGTGCAATTATATAATACATGTATTTTATTTTTTTCAAAAAATATTTTAAAACCTTTGCATACATTTAATAGCCAAAAAATAGTCGCAAATCTGCGATCGCTTTGAAAACGGTTGCAATTTTGCGACTCCGTACAAATTAGTCGTAGGTTTCATGTTTTGTAAGCGTTTTTATAATGGTCATAAAAAACGGCCACAATTTTCCGAATTTTGGTAGTGGTGTATTGATAGGTTTACAACCCAACATTCCTATTTTCGTCAATATATATATCTAAAAGATATTTACATTGAGATGGAAATAACCTCATTTCACCTCGTGCTACCTCAATCCCAAGAAAGTATTTCTAACACACCAAGGTCCTTCATATGAACAAATGAACTAAAATATTGCTTGAACCTCAAAATCATATCATGTGACGAACCTGCAATTATTAGATCATCAACGTAAACTAGCACATGAAGAATCACATCACTCTATTGATAACTAAACAATGAATAATCAACATATGACTGAAGGAAACTAAACTTCGCAAAGCACTACACAATACAATTTAGCAAACCATTGTCGCAGAGCCTGACACAAACCATACAAAGACTTACATAACCAACACACCTTCCCTAGAGAAGGGATACTATAACCCTGTTGGGAATTTGTGTTTACAAGGGTCACAAAGAAAGTAAACAAAATTAATGGAAAAATCTTCGAGGCGTGAACGAGATCAGTTTCCCAAAGGTATAATTCCGACCCTATACGACAACCGGGTATCACGGAAATTTACTCAGGAGATACAACAAAGAACATTGCAATCACAAGTAGGATGATTACAATACAATGTAGATAAGCTTTTGTGATTTGTGATGATGAATAATAACTTGCAAAAGGTTTCAAGAGAATGAGAATAAAACTGATTTCTTGAAGTTTTTTCATCAATATGAAACTCTCATATTTATATCAAGAGCAATGAACCAAGAATAACAGAAGAATAACCGTCAATATTGTCTTCCGCGCCCTACTGGGTGAGAGAAATCAAGCAACCCAGAAACATTTGGGTGCTCTCGCGCCCTACCGGGCGATGATGGCCCTACTGGGCGGTGACAATGCTTAATTTTCCTTTGCTCTCACGCCCTACCGGGCGGAGGCTCGCCCTCCCAGGCGTGTCACCGGGCGGGCTACAGAGCGGAGGAACATTTCTCTAAACCAAGATACAAATTGCTCTTTTACTTGTTCAATTGAATTTCAACACCTTAACCTAAGAAATTCAATCAAACACACGAATATTTGTCACCAATACTCTAAATAATTCAACAATCCTCCCCCATTTAGAGTATTAAACTTGACTCATTGCAAAACACCATCATCACAAAAACAATCTCATGCATAAATGAAAGTGTACAAAGGCTTGAACTCCCACTTAGTACAACATACAATTCAAGAATCCGTATCCATTCGGTATCGTAAAATGTTTGAACCAAAAGCAACACATATTGGATACTTGAAGATATTACACACACAAGATTAATTAATTAAATACATATTTACTTACACTCAAGCCATGTGTCCATATCTATTCATAAGTACATCAAAGCTATGCCCCTAATAGCTTCTTGAAGCGGATAAACCTCGTACTTATATAGGCAGACTTCCAACATGCTCCTGTAACCAAAGCACTTTATCAGGAATTCTATTAAGTTTAAAAAAACCTCTTTTCATCACAGTAAACCGGAGCTTTACCTTGGATGAATATACAAGTTCCCAATCATCAAATAAGAGAATTGATCTCATTGAACTTAAGACCCAACGTCTTATTGGGCGTTAAGTTGAGATTCCCCTAATTGTGATTATTTAGGGCTCCAATCCTAAACCGATTGCCACCCTATTGTTAACATCTCTAGCCAATGCCTTTGTAAAACAATCGGCGAGATTAAGATCCGTTCGAACATAATCAATAGTGGTCACACTATCCTTGATAAGCCCTTGGATGTAAATATGCCGTACTCCAATGTGCCTTGACTTACCATTATAAACTTGGCTATAAGCCCTTGCCAAGGTAGCATTGTTATCACAATGTATCACTATTGGTGATATCGATTTTGGCAACAAAGGGATCACAAACATGAGATCCTGCAACTATTCGGCTTCTTTACCAGCCGAATGCAAAGCAATGAACTCCAATGTCATTAAGGAGTCCGCAATGCAAGTTTGCTTTTTTAGAAGCCCATGAAATGGCACCTCCTCCACATTGGAAAAGCCATCCACTTGTGGAGGAATGATCTTTGTTAGTGATCCAACTTGCATCTGAATACCCTTCTACAACCGAAGGATATCCTCTATAAGTACTTCAACAATCGTTGAACCGCTTGTTGATGTAGCATACTAGGCTTGCTATTGTACCTGCTCAGTTGAACAACTGAATAAGAAATATCCAGTATAGTACTTGTCATGGCATACATCAAACAACCTATTACGTTAGCATATTCAAGTTGTGAGACTGCATTACCTGCATTAGGTATCAACTTTATGCTATGACCCATAGGTGTTGAATAAAGAGAAGTAGTGTCTTCACTCACATTGAATTTCTTTAGCACTTTCTCAATGTAATGAGATTGTGACAAGATCAACTTTCCTTTTTCCCTCTTTATCCTTATGCCAAAGATGACATCCGCTTCACCTACATCTTTCATGGAAAACTTTGAACTAAGGAAAGACTTTGTCATTTCAACTTGTGACAAATCTGTTCCAAAGATCAACATGTCATCTACATATAGACAAATTATGACACCTTGACCGTTGTCATCAAATTTGCTATAAATACACTTATCTAAATTGTTCAGCTTAAAACCATTAGACAACACAACCTCATTAAATTTTTAATGCCATTTCTTAGGTGCTTGTTTTAGCCCATACAAAGATTTAATCAACTTGCAAATTTTTCCTTCTTGACCTTCCACTACAAACCCTTCCGGTTGTTGCATGTAAACTTCTTTCTCTAGATCTCCATTCAAGAATGCTGTCTTGACACCCATTTGATGGATCACAAGCTTGTGGATAGCCGCAAGAGCTATCAACAACCTTATAGTTGAGATTATAGCAACATGTGCATATGTATCGAAATAATCGATACCAGGATTTTGTGTAAAACCTTGTGCCACTAATCGGGCTTTGAAATTTTCAACCGTTCCATCAATCCTCAATTTCTTTTTGAAGATCAATTTGCACCCAATTGCTTTACATTTTTGTGGTAAATTAGCTAAAACCCAAGTATTGTTTCCCATGATAGATTCTATCTCATCATTAATAGATTCCTGTCAAAATGGAGCGTCACGAGATCTCATAAACTCATCATAGGTCAAAGGATCATCTTCCGCATTAAAAATGTATGGAAATTGTGTCGAAACAGATTCCCTTGATCCTTCAACTAAGTACACATGAAATTCCGGGCCAAAAGTTTTTTCTTTCCTAGCTCTCTTACTTCTCCTAGGTTGTGATGATGATGTAGATGCATCCTCTAAATGAGTTTGATCATCCACCTCTTGATCAATGACAATTTGATCAAGACTTTGAGCATTAGTATTCGGAGTTATGTCCTTTGGTCTAGGAATTGAAGAAAATCAATTTTCATCAAACAATGCATCCCTTGACTCAATGGTGGTGTGAACTGACCAAAAGTAAATTTTCTCTATTACATAGAACGTATAGTATTTTCTATGATCCGCATATCCTATAAAAATGCATTCAACTCCTCTTTCACCTAACTTTTTACGTTTAGGTTCCGACACTTTTACAATTGCCCTACAACCCCAAACTTTGAGATGACTCAAGTTTGGTTTCCTTTTATACCATATCTCATGGGGTAACATCTTTACCTTTCATGGGAACACGAATTAACACGTAACAAGCCGTTAAAACGGCTTCACCCCAAAATCCATCACTTAAACCTAAATATGACAACATAAAATTTACCATTTCTTCTAGTGTTATTCTATTCTTCCTTTCCGCTACACCATTTTGTTGTGGTGTATATGCCGCGGTTGTTTCATGTACTAAACCTAAAGATTGGACATAAATTTTGTCAAAGTATTCACCTCCTTTATCGGTTCTTAACTTTTTAATTCTTTCCA